GGGTTAGCCGAAAAAAGTTCTAGTGGGCCGATTTGGCTTCTTATGCGTCCCTCTCTTTTTGACCCTTGTAGAATGATATTGGTAGGAGACGAAAGCCTGAAATGTGTTTACTTTAATCTGTCGTCTTTGAAGACTATTGACGGTTATCCTTCCATTTGTTGTCTAGCTGTTTTTGGCACATTCTTAGACGATTAGTTATTTGTGATGATGCAGATTCATTCAGATTTCCGTAAATATTTATGATAGTTAATGAATGTCTGTTTTCGATCAAATTTTGGTACATGGAAGAGGTCTGTTCGTGACTGAACAGTCAAAGATCAACTACCATATCGATTCTGTCTCTCATTTTTGGAGGAGGAAAATGAGTATACAAGGATACTTGCACAATGAGATTAGTGAGCTTTATTAGTTGTTCATTTATTGGGTTACTTCGCACCCTAGTAAATGAAGAAAAAATAAAATTTTTCTCTTGTTCTAGAATATTTTGTATTTTGATACCAAACAAACCAGCCAGTTCAATGTTAAAATGTTTGTGTAAGTTATTGTCACATATTAGAGTAATCAATACCGTTCGATTTCGTTTCCAAACAGTAATATTGACAAGATCTACCACGGCATTGGCTCCGAGTTTTTGGGAATCCTGAAACCATTGTTTTATATCATATTTGGTCTTGTCGTGTCGTTCTTTATCAATTGGCGATTGACTGCAATCGTAGTAGTTTTTATAGCTATGGGTGTTGGTGCTTCACTTCTATTCTCTAAGGTAAATACTACCCAGTTCAAATAATCTAATAACAGAATATTACATGATATTACAAAATCACACGCGATCTTAGTGGGAAATCTTGTATGATCATATAAGACCGTACGAAAATCATATATGATCTTGTACGATTTGTATAAAATCATCGTAAAGCCTGATCGTCTTATCAAAATTTCCTATACGATTCTTGTATGATCTTATTGTATTATCTTGTGCGATCTTATGCTATTTATGTAAGATTATAGAACTAATGAATGCATTGCTTAGCTGATTTTCTTGCATTCTCTGCAACCCTCTAGTTGATTTTTAAAACATAAGTTATTTTCGTTATCAATGTGTTTTATTTTATACATGTTATTCAACGAGATAGTCTACAAGAAATAAATTGCTACAAAAAAGTCTTACAAGGGAAGGTCCCCAAGTGTGTACCGGGAATTTCAATGAAAATGATGTGGGATTGTTAAGTCAGGTGTATCTATCTCAGGTGTGAAACAATTAGGTGCTCTTATTGTCTTAGTAAAAAACTATAGACAAAATAGTTTTCAAAAATTTTATACATATTTTTCGCTGTATATAGTCCGGGACAAAAGTTTAAGCAAATTTGGTTTTTCGGTGTTTTTTTTACATTTCTTTCCTCAAATTTTTTTCCTAACATTATAAGGCACGGACGTGATTCAAATGGTGATACAGATAGTACGAGGAGCTGCCTAATTAGTAAACCATCATCTTGTTGTTGACAATGTATTTGTGTACTAATAGATGATAAATTATTGACGAATCCGATTGAATCTATTTTCTGTTGTTATATTACAACATAGTATTTGTGTTTGATTAGCTATATTTTCATTGATATGTCATGAACATATGAAGTCAATCTTATTCTAACATTATAAAAACTACATAATGCTGTAAAATATATATTTATAATAATTTTAAATAACTCTGATTAGGTTAAATTAATTTTTTTGAAGATAAATCTGATATTATAATGAAGGATCGAAAAGTTTTCGAACAAAATTGAAATTCATATTTCTCTTGTTCTACTCATGCTTTGTTTCTGATTTTTTTGTCCACAAAATACAAACACTATGGACCTATAAAATTACATAATCAAAGCGTCATAATGGTTCTTTATCTCACTGTTTTTCTAAGTTTATTCGAAGGTGCTTTTTTGCGGTTGGACAATATTAATGGTAACAAAGTCAGCCCGATGTGATTCACCTGTGGATCACACTATATTTTAACAAGAAAATTAGTAGAAAAAGACTTTATTTTCCTGTTTTCTTAGGCAGAAGATTACACATGAAGTGTCACCTACTGTCTTAGTTGTTGTTGAAATAATTTATTACAGAATATGATACTTCTCGTTAAAATAATCACGACCAAAACAGTTTTTACAATCAGAACAGAAAGTTTTTGTTCTCTGCTGTCCCATGACTTGCTTTCCATGGTTGTTGTTAGTTGATTTGTTCATAGAAGCCACCGCAGCGCCTTCGGAGAGTACCCATAGGTTACAACGAAGGGACACTAGGCGATGATTCATCAGACCAATTATCAGCATATTATACATGTCTCAGAGGATGAACAAAATGGTGTTGAAAGATGACATCTGAATTGATTTTTAGGATGGCGATACTTTATAGCTGTTCGATATTATAGAAAACCATCCTCACAGTGAACTGACTATTCTGCAGTTTCACGAAGAGGCTTCTACAATCTTTATTGCTTGACATTCTATTCGAAAAGTTGAAACCTGGTTCTCGATAAAAATGAAACAGCCATCCAAAGCGTGAACTTGTGGTCTACAAGCTCGAACAAGAAAAGTATCCGTGCATAATGTGTGAAGGTGCCGCAGTGGCTTCTATGAACAAATCAACTAACAACAATCATGGAAAGCAAGTCATGGGACAGCAGAGAACAAAAACTTTCTGTTCTGATTGTGAAAACTTTTCGATCATTCGGTCGTTTTAATTTATTTATAAAATCAAGTGGAATAATCCTATTGAATCAAACGAATTTTAGCTTCACTTTGATTTAAATAATGAAAATATTAAAAAACACAACGATCCAACAGAAAAATATTTCTAAATAAAATCCATAATAATTTCCAAAGCCTCAAACGAAACTAAAGTATCGAAAGACTATATATTAATATAGAATACATTTATTATGAGAGGGAACACCATTTGAATATGTCTACTATTAAACTACAACAAAAAATAAATGCAACGATTTTCTTCTCTTTATATAGTCTGCCGTGGTGATTGTTTGCTTTTCTAAATCTCCTACTGGTCCATTTTTAAAAGCAATCTATTTTATTCTAAAATAAGTCTACTAATATCGGCACCAGAGGCCAAGGCAGGTGGATGTTTTTTGAATAACTTTTGATACGAACAAGATAGAGACTTGCTGTTTTCACCAGTTTAAAGTGGAAACATCAAGACGTCTTTATCTCCGATATTGTATACGGCGAGATCATTTTAAAGTCAACCGTTTTTCAAAAACAATGAAAACATGTTCAAAAATAATTCGTTCTTGAGATGAAATTTTTACAAAAAATCAGAAAAATTGTTTGCAAATGAAGAGAAATTCATATTTTTTCAAGGGGTTAATCAAAAATCTGATCTGATTTATCTTGAAATATGTGAAGATAACTATTCGAATTATATCTCAAAATATAGATCTGACGGCCCTCTATCTAACTCATGTATCAAATGCAAAATTTCATCGGAATGGTACCCCATTTTCGCGCATATTTTGAAATGTTTCGCAGATATGATGGACTTTAAAATGATTTTATCGCACACAATATCAGAGAAAAAGACGTCTCAGTGTCGCTTCTTTCGATTGGTAAAAACCGCAAATCTCTATCTTGTTCCTATCAAAAGTTATTCAAAAAACATCCACCTGCCTTAACTTCTGGCGCCGATATTAATTACTCTAAAAAACTTAATTCTATTTTCTTTTCGTTTAAAATAAATTTAAAATATGAGTATCGTTCATTTGGGTTGAAATAAATTAAGAAAATATTAAATGATTCAGTAGAGGAGATATGAAAGAACAATCTAATAAAAGTAATAAGATTTTCGTATACTTCAAATAAGAAATGGAATTCTTTTGAACAGTTTCGAGTGCTATATCACCGAAAACAAAAATTTAATAAGCTAGACGCATTTGATCCATCGGGTTTTTGAGTGTGCCAAAAATTTGGATTTTGCAATTCTAGAAAAACTAACGCGTAAATTAGAACGTAATTAATTGGTGAAATGTTTATTTAAATGTATAACACTATAGTTATAGAAACTATCCCAGGTCAAAAAATCAGATATAAGATCTTGTTGATCATACGAGATCAGACGAAAATCGTACGCAAATTCGCTGTTCATGCAATTTTATAGTAAGTCGTACTATAAGATCCATCCAAGATCTTACTGTTACATAAAATTTTCTATAATCTCGTAGTGAGATTTTATCGGACAGCAAGATCTTGGATGGATCTTATAGTACGACTTAGTATAAGATTGCATGAACAGCAATTTTGCGTACGATTTTCGTCTGATCTTACAAGATCATACAAGATCCGATGTAGGATCTTATAAGATCTTGTCGTATGTTTTTTCGACCTGGGTATTTGCGTGCAAGGAACCTAAAGTTACGATCTTATAACATCATACATGATTTAAAAGATTCCGAATCTCAGATTTGGCAAGGACCCTATAGCAAGAATCATGTAAGATTTGTGTCGTGGCTCTCGATATGGAAGGAAATGAGGTGGGCTAATCACTCCTGCTCCTTCGTGTGTCTGCGAAAATTTTGAGTTGTTGTCTGCAAACTGTCTGCCAAATTGTTGAACCCAACTTTTTCAAAGGCACTTTTTGCCAAATACACTGCTTATGACTGTCTGCCAAATTTTTAGTCCATCCCACTTCTGAAAACTATCGAGACCCATGACTAATGCTAGCATCTTATGGTAAGAAACATATTAAATCTTAAAACAAGATATTTGCGCGATTTCATAAAATCATACAATCTGAATCTTGCAAAATTTATTGTCAGTGAGATCTTATAAGGTCTTATATGATCTTTTTATGGTTTTCTACGTGGGTAATAATTTTGATCTATTGCACTTGAATAACTGTCACAGCTCATAACTTCCACAACAATGAATGAGTTGAACGCCTATGCAAAAGCAGGACAAATTGTTCAAGAAGTATTTAATTCACTTCGTACTGTTCTATCATTAAATGGCGCCAATTTTGAGCAAAAAAGGTAAGAAATTCGTTTGAATATATTTTGTTGAAAGAACATCACGAAACATATAGCGACATCTATTACATTTAGATATGAAAGAGAGCTGCACTCTACTAATAGGAATACCATGTATAAAGGTGTCGCGCTTGGACTCTTCAATGGGTGGTCATCCTTTGTCAACTATATAATTTATTCAATAAGCTTTAACGTTGGGTCATTTCTACTCGACACTAAAAGTCATAATATATTGATTATCGGTGAAATGCTTATCGTAAGTGATGCATAAAATAAATAAACACTAAATTGATTACATTATCGATATGTTCACGTAGGTTATCCTCGTCCTTGGAAGAATTGTGAGATTTTTTACTTCCGTTAGTATTTACATTCAATCATTTGCGGAAGGTCGAGGTGCAGCTGCACCAGTGTTTCAACTTCTTGACGAGGTAAATTGTATTAATCTGATGCCTCTATAGCTATAATGTTTTCTGTTTGTCACATCATATAGGAGCAAGAACTCAGTATAAATGAAAGAGAAATATGGGGTAAAAACTCACCAGAGAAAGAATCAATTGATATCAATGGGGATATTGAATTTGACAATGTGACTTTTGCTTATCCATCTCGAGAAGATATATCTGCTTTGCATAATCTTACTCTCATAGCTCGTGCTGGTGAAACGACTGCTCTTGTTGGTTCTAGTGGTTGTGGTAAGCTTTTCGCAAAACAACCGTGTAAAATGATTCGATTAAATTCTGATTTTAATAGGAAAAAGTACATGCATTTCACTTCTGCTTCGTTACTATGATTTTTCATCAGGTCGAATTATGATCAACGGTCGATCAATTACAGACTATGATCGTAGACAACTTCGACAAAATATTGGGGTTGTTAGTCAAGAGCCTGTATGTTTCTCTCTTATCTCTTCTTCCACTTCACAATTCATTATTGAAATAGATTCTTTTTAATATGAGTATTTATGAGAATATTCGTTTTGGTAAATTAGATGCATCACAAGCAGAGATTGAAGAAGCAGCAAAACAAGCTAATGCACATTATTTCATCATGCAATTACCAAATGTTTGTATTTGATATTTATCTCGATTACATGTATGTGTATAATTGATTGTTTAGAAATATGAAACACTTGTTGGCGAACGTGGTATACAATTGAGTTGTGGGGAAAAACAACGTGTTGCTATAGCTCGTGCACTCGTCAAACAGCCTACCCTACTTTTGTTAGATGAAGCGACAAGTGCACTTGATAATATTAGCGAAACTCTCGTTCAAGAGGCAGTTAATCGAGCATGCAAAGGTAAACAGTATTTTTCGATTGATTGTTTGGATATATGCTCATTTATAGGTCGCACTACTATTGTTATCGCTCATCGTTTAACTACGATTCAAAATGCTCATCAGATATATGTTATGGATAAGGGATGCGTAATTGAGCATGGCACGCATACAACTTTAATGGCACAACAAAATGGTAAATATCGGAAAATGGTAGACAGTCAACATATAAAAGAAATTGATCATGGTATAGACCAAGTCACGGATAAAGAAGACGAATTCGATAAAGTCGAAAGGGAAATTTGTAAATAAAAACCTACTTAGTAATAATCTTGGTTCACTCCGACTATGTTTTTTTTATTAGTTGAACAATCTCATTTATCTAACGAGAATCAACTCGTTGGTGATGATAAAGTATGAGCAACAATTCAACTATCTGGTCGGAGCATTGTTGAGTATCTCTATTTCTAGAAAAGTTTACCACCATTAAGTGGACAAATCATCTTTCTAAGACTTTTATCAATGAACAGTCCGGAATGGATCATTCTTTCAATTGGTGCTGTTGCATGTCTACTTTCTGGAGCGGTTCAACCATTATTCGCCGTATTACTTGCCAACATAATCAATGTAAGTAGTTTATCCATATACAACACATGGAAGAAAAGATAAGTATTATATATATGTTTTAATATCGATTGAATAATGTTTCAGGCATTGAACAACTGCACATATGCTGAACAGCGTCGCCAAGTGTTAATGTCCAGTTTCTATTTCATACTTTTAGGGTTCCTCATCTTTCTTTTTTGTTTTTTTCAAGTAAAACTATTTTGTTCTCAGTTTCACTGACTGTTCTATTAATATTACTATAGTACACAGCTTTTGCAATGGCAGGATCGAAACTGACACAACGTATTCGCTTAAAAGCTTTTTCACATCTGTTACGTCAGGAGGTTGCTTATTTCGATCGACCGGAAAATAGTTCTGGTAGCATATGTACTCGTCTCTTCTCTGATACATTAGCTATCCAACAATTGACTGGTGTACGCTTGGGTGTCATCTGTGAAACGTTGGCTCTCATCTGTTTTGGTCTCATATTTGGCATCTTGATCAGTTGGCAACTAACAACAATTGTTTTCTTTTCACTTGTTATCATTGGATTTACTATGTACTTGGACGGACAGTTACAGCGAGAGATGACCAAACATACTCGTATTTATCTTGAACAAGCAAGCATGGTATGAGTGCAATAAGTCAAACCCTGTATATATTGATTGTATGATTTTTACTGTAGCTTACTGTCGAAGTCAATCAAAATATGCGTACAGTAAAACAGTTGACAATAGAAAATGAAGTTCTACAAAAATTTACTGATCTGATTGATCATTCATCAAAGTCAGTCTCTCGATTAATAGATTTGTAGAAATTTGTAATGACTTGTTTTATACAGAATACATCGAAAATATTCATTACTATCAGCAATTACATTCGGTATTAATACTGGAACACATGGATATATTTTCGGAGCTCTTCATTGGTGTGCTCTCACTCTACTTGAACGCAATGAAATAGACCTCAAATATATAATAATGTAAGTCAATCGGCAGTTTAATAATCCAAAAACAATACTACCAACGACAAGATTACTGTAAATCATATTTTTTTATCTACAATCTCGAGCTCATGGTCAAAAGAAGTTTTCTTGCATATATATATATATATATATATACCCCTGGAAAAAAATAGCTGCAGCCAGTATTTCAATGATCTTATCACCATAATAAAATCATTTTTTAAACCTAATTGCATATTCTGAAAGCGCATGGAGTTTTCTATCATTCTGTGTATTTATCTTTTAATTTGTACTGAGCTATTATCAAAATAAATCGAGTGCAATGAAGGCACCCTCATGTCCAGATTCCCAAAAATTTTTTTTTGTTATTGTCGTCTCATTGAATGTTTTACTTTTATCATCACTATAGAGGTAGCTTTTCGAAAAAGCAAATGTGTATTCTGATAGAGCTTGAAATTCTCTATCATCCTGTATATTTACTTATTTCCTTATATTAATTTATCGAAAAGAAAATTTGAGTACGGTGAAC